CACTCACTCACTCACTCACTCACTCACTCACTCACTCACTCACTCACACCAACTTAAGCACACCAACTAAGCCACTTCCGATCAAGCCCGGTCCCAGGGTCTCCTCCTCGTCTTCACTTGTTTACTGGCTGATCGGACCGTGGTCCTAAATCCAGGGACGCCACTTATGAGAGGCCTGGTGTTGTGGCGAGGGCGGTCTCCGAGCCATGGCGGAGACGACAGCAGGAATCTTATTGTCACATCCCTGCGACTACACATAGCTTACAGCACACAGCAGGGCAAAACAGAAGAACATAGTCAAGCGCAGCTATAGCAGCTATATCAGTGTCTTGAGACGCATACAAGGCAACGCCATACACGACCAACTCCCAAATCAAAGGCAGAGGATAGATCGCAACATGAGTTCTCCTCCAAGCCTGGACACTCCCTGCTCGGCACATGCAGCTGACAAGCGCTAGGTTGCGATCCATGGAGGACTGTGGCAAACACCTTTCAACGAAATCCTTTGTGGGCTGGCACGCGGACCATTGGCCATTTGTTCTGATTGAAATCAGGTGGTCGTGTGTATCCACTTGGCAGCGGCAGGGCAAACATTGGCTGTTTATCCAAACAGAGGACTCCCATCACTCTGCAGGTAATTTGTCAATTATCTCCAAACGGCTTTGGAGGACGGTCATTCGTTTGTGCAGTCTGCCACGGTCGAGAGGAACTGTGGACACTGCTCTCACAACTGGCTACGAGACACAGCTTGCTCGACTTCAACTGTAGACTCTCGTTAGGCTATCGCCGTTCAGGCACAAGCACCTTCATGTTTGCCGGGACGCAGCGCAGTGGGACTCTTCACAGTGATCCTTCGGCCTCAACCAAGCGGTGCTCAAAAATGGCTTGACTGCTTTGAAGTATGATCCAAAACATGGACCGACATCCTATAATCCTGCGGGGCCAGTGTCTCGCATAGACTTTGCCTTCGCGTGGCTGAGAAACGCTGACGTGTTTGCCACGAAACAAGCCAAGCAACTTACAGATGCACCGTTTGCGGGCGCAAGCGTTGCTCATCACATACCTCTGCTGCGCGGCTCCGGCTGCCGGAAAGCCCAAATCTCGCATTAGTCTTCAAACCCGGCAGTTTGGCCAATATGCAAGGTAGGCTGATACGACGGCACGGCGCTCTTTTTGTACCGATATACAAGCTTTAATTGAGCCAGCTTGTGTATGGGCAGGCGGGACGAACTGGTCACTGGGTCTTGGCTCTTGGCCTGCAAACCAAACGGAA